TTTCAAAGAGAGAGGCGATTTCGTTCAATTTTCCATTTTTGTCTAGACGATTGTGTCCCCATCTGTGAACATGCTGTGACGTCATAATGTTATAGGGCAACTGATGGGGACAGAAGTAACCAAACAGTGAAGGCAATAATTTTGACGCATGGTGATAATAGAAACAAACCTGAAGATGACTGATATGCCTTGAGGTATTGATCAATACGGCCCCTGCTGGAAGAGGTACTGCAACAAAAAAAAGAAAATAAATAATACATTCATACATTAGAGGCATTCAGTCTACTTTGAATTCATGTACTAAGTTCAATAATTCTATTTGGGAGTTACCACACTAGAACACTTGGTCATTTCTCTGTCTCCTTTAAGTCAATATTTTCATGTTCACAAGTCTTCAGAAATTGTCGATTTTTTAAGAGTCATATTGTGATGAAATCATAAAGCAATGATGTTAAGCTTAACTCACGCTAGCTTGTAAGTAATAGATTAAATATGATCATGAGCAGCTGATCTTTGTGAGGATTCAAACTTCTAGCCAAAGACAAGAAGTTTTACACCTCATAAAGATAAGCTGCTCATATTTTATGTTACTTATCAAATGAATACACTTCTAATGCCCTATTTTACAAACATGTCTTGTTTAAAGGTATAATTTTTCTGAGAAATTTCACATTAAATTAAATGCAAATCAGTAAAAAATTTCTTGCCAATTTCAAACTTTGTCACGACTGTGATTCTCTATTGCATTTGGCTAATGAATTATTAATTAATTTGATAATAACAAATAAAATATAACCACACCACAAAAAATTGTCAACTGCAAGAGTCCTAATTTAATTGACAATAACAATAAGCACTAGAACTGTCAATAACACTTCTCTATTTAAATCTGAAAATCACCATTATTTCGGAACATAAGCAAATGCTATTGTAGGAGGTTATTGTGAGATAATTAACAACTATTCACCAAAGTGGAGGTGGTTAGTGGTGGATATTTACCAAGCCGCGAAGCGGCGAGGTAAAAATCCACCTCTAACCACCGACACTGAGGTGAATAGTTGTTTTAGTATATACTAAAACAGTGAGATAATATACACCACCGTCGTTAATTTGAGTGATTTCTTCGCTTGTTACGGATGCAAACCGGGACGCCATTTTTTCCCGAGTTGCTCGGAGGTAAATAGCAAAGGATATTCGGAGTTTGACTAGTCAATCAGAGCGCACCTTCAGCGCTATCCACTGTTTTAGTATATACTAATACGGGCTACCCGACAGATCAACTAATCACAGGAGATTACCAGGTGGAGAATATTATACAAGTGTCATGCTCTGATTGGTTGATCTGTGGGTTTGCCCAAACTACATCACAACAACTTAAGAATTTGCATTTAGGAAATAGATGGTGTTATTGACTTATATGGAGAACTGTTCAATACATTCTGTATGCCAGTCAATGTATTAGTATCAAGGTTATCATATTCAATAGACAAATAGACTAGCCTTGTACTTGATGATTTCCCACCACCACATACATCCCTATGTGCCGGCAAGTCTGCCATATTGCATAGCTTGCCACAATTCATACAGTCAATCATCACTGCATCCTCTTGCCATTCTTCCTGTGGCTATTTGTAAACAAGAATATAGGTTTCTTACTTGAAATATCTGAAATTACTTCATTCTACTTGATTGGGCAATTCAACCCGTGTGGTGACATGCTATCATATCACTTCACGGCTTTAATCACGGCTTTATATTTACACACTCATATCCACACGAGTAGAATCCTCTGATATTTCACTAGGAATGCCAGAATATTAATAACCGATTTTTTCACAAAACAGCTCACCTTATGATCCTTGTCTTCGAGAGGTATATCCCCCTGCATAGGCCTTAGGTTGGCCTTTGCCTGGCCCAGGACGCTTTTCAAGTACTCCACTGAAAAGCCATTCGAGGGCATTGGCAGATTCATCAAATCTTTAGACCTGCCACTTTCGCTTGTGGTGCGCATAATGAATAGCCAAGACGAGCAAGCTCTGGAAAAGTCTCTATTATACATCTGTGCACGTCACTTCCCTTTCCACTTTTGGGGAACTCGATTTTTTTTTTCCTCGAGGTTGTTGATTGCCAGACGTACGCGTTCTCCTGGCGTTGGTAATTGCTCTGATGTCGACGAAGCAAGGCATACAAACGCACGCGACCAAGTTTGACCGGTTGGTCTCCCAGAATTGTATGGCCGTACTCTCGCTCTAGAACTTCTACTAGAGGACTGTCTGATACCAGTAACAGCTGGTGGCTGGTATCCAAATAAAAGTTGGTGTTCTGCACGAACGGAACGGCTTGTAGATGGTACCGAGTTGGTCTGTTGAGGTGCTGGTACCAACGTCATAGGATTAGCGTTTGCACTCGTATTTGATGAGTTTGATGGATTTGACGCCCTGCAAAGCAATTGAGCCGTTTGTAGAAGGCGATCAGCGAAATCGCGGAGCGCTGTATTCGTAGAGCTATCCATTTCTTCAGAACTAAAAGCACTCTTCACGACATGTGCAGTAGTTGCAGAAGTGGCATACGTATTCGTAAGAGATGCGCTTCTGAACAAGCGACCAGGCCATCCAGAATTCCGCCAGGAACGCCTGGCAAAAAGTATTCAATTCAAAACGCATCTATTCCATTCAAAACGCATTTATTCAATTCAAAACGCATTTACTAAATTCAGAATTAATGTATAGCGACGTACGCGATTGCAGAATGTGTAAAGACATTTTAAATTCTAGAAAAAAATTGCGTGCATTTATATTTTATTAGAAACTTGTAAAAACTATCGGAGGGGTACGGTGGCCCATAGGGTACATGACACAATTTTTTTTTATCGCGCGATAAATGAAAAATTATCGCGCGATAAATGAAGATTATCGCGCGATAAATGGAGATTATCGCGCGATAAGTGGAGATTATCGCGCGATAAGTGGAGATTATCGCGCGATAAATGGAAATTATCGCGCGATAAATGGAAATTATCGCGCGATGATTTTTATTATCACGCGATAATATTTATTATTACGCGATAATTTATCATTTATCGCGCGATAAATGGAAATTATCGCGCGATAATTTTTCATTTATCGCGCGATAATTCCATTTATTGCGCGATCATTTCCATTTATCGCGCGATAATCTATCATTTATCGCGCGATAATCTATCATTTATCGCGCGATAAAAAAAATGTGTCATGTCCCCTATGGGCCACCGTAGAGGGGGAATATTTTTGAAATTGTTTTTTTTTTTTAATACGGGAAAACTTTTTTATGAAATCGAAATGTGTACTTGTTATTTCAAAAACGTAGACGATAGCTTGTTTTTGATTAAAATACTATAACAGGGTTATTTCGTGAATGCAATTGTCATGCAGTGATGTGAATTCGGAATTCAGAATGAAGTGCAACAAGAATTTAAATTTTGACCCTGAAAACGCGCCATAAAATAGCCCTAGGTGAAAACAATCTTCTTATCACTATTTACCAAGATGTTATAATTTTGTAAATGCGCAAACACCAAGAGAAGTCGAATGTTTTTCAAGAGAAAACCACTAAAACTCAATTTCTTTGATAGTTCAATTCATGCTGAATGTTCAGTGGCGCATGAAACATCAAACAATGCATGTGCAGAATGTGACAGAAGCAGACTCTTCAAATATGGCAAATTTTCCCCAAAAATGTTGAGGCTTCCCAAGGGAGTTTTGTGGTAACTGAACATGGCCAGTCTGAAGTAGTGTTAGGAATCGTGAGAAAACAAAATCCATTAAAGTCACACAAGCGAAATAAGTCACCCCAATATGAAAATGCAAATGACGTCTCGATACACCTTCATGATGAACATATGAACCTTTGTCGAATAGCTCAAATCAGCCTAGAGCAATCTCGTACATTGAAGCTTATGAAGATTATTAAAAAAACTCTCACTGGCTTACTGGTAGAGCTTCAGATTGTTGTGAACAGGCACGTAACTTCACCCCCCACCGAGCTATAGATAATGCGCAAAATATTAAGATTCTATATGTAATTCATTAGCCTCTTTCATAATGACTTTGAAAATCTATTGACGAATTTCACGTGACATCTCATTCGAAAATCCAGAAGTATAGTGCCACAAAAATTTTTATTCTTAACAAATCAGGCATAAGGGGGTCTAAATTTGTATCCCTCTTTGAGCTTTCAGCTCTATAGCGTGCTTGGTTTGGAAACCAGCGTAGTTTGAAGTTCAGAGTTATGGTGGTTGTGTGACATACACAGCTCCGATCGCGTTTGTCGAAAAATATGGACGTATCTGGTGATTTTTAGCCTTTTTAGAAAATTAAGTATTAGAAAAAGTGTTTTTGTACGGTTCAGTTGGTTTAGTTTAGATAATCAGTGAGCTAGATAGCCAAAGTAAGTTTCAGATGTTTTACACTATTTCCGGCCGCCATGTTCAAGTTGGTGTACTAAAGATATCCACAAACATGGTGGCCCCGTACTGGGCTCTTTAAATTTGCGCAAAACATTTCGACGAAAATCTTAAGTTTGGGGGCACAAAGATACCTAAAATTTGGAGAATTGCATTCTTAATGTCTTCTATAACATTGCAATTTCTTAAGCTTATCCACTAAATTTCTTTCTCTCGATGCGTAACAGTGAAAACAATCAATTCGATAGCCGCGCCTGCGGCTTTCGTACGTAATCAAAAGTATGTTAAGGTATAAAATCGTCAATTTAGTACCAGAAGTTGTACCATACTTGTCACGATTACTTTCGAACAATCTTGAAAAAACACACCCATTTAATTGTTTGATTGTCAGAGTTCTACGGCCCATTTGTGTATTTCAGTTATATCATTCTTCGTGTACAAAGCCGAAGTCTAGACGACCACTAAAGTTAAGAACAAGACGCAATTGAAAATGAGAAAGGAACTTAGAGTAATGAATCTCCCTTCGAAAATGAAACTCACTCGTTCACGAATGTCTTACCTTGTGAGCTGAAAGCCAAATCACCCATTTACAAAGAGTCCAAAAGTCTCCTGTCCCTTAAGGCTAAGGTTTGATCCCTCAACAAGCTGCTTATTACCTTCAGTCGGTTTCGAGAAGGAATAGCAGCAAGTACAGTCAAGAAACTGACATACAAGGTCAACATTTTGAGCTTTTTCATATTGCCTAAAACAAATCATGCGCTTGCAAATATGCAAGGCTGAACGTTTCTAGATCCTGACCTTGTGCCCCCTATTTTCATTCTGATCAATTACGTTAAAAAACTCAGCAGATAATTAGTCAAACCGCCTATAAATCAATGACTACAACGAACAGCTTTTAAGTAGGACAAACAACACTTTGAGAATGAGGCGCCCTTTCCTAATTTTATTTCACACGGAAACAAGTTATCACGTTGGTATCAGGGATTTTTGTCATTTTGTTTTCGCTTTCAAATGTTATTGAAATCAATGGCACGGAACTTGTTATGATCAGTCTTGTCAGTCAAAATATTAATTGAATTAACTGATTAACATAACTGGTTGTTTGTTTAGCAGGGCATGATCTTTGCGCAGACTCAGTCTTTTGAGAACAATGTGTGGTAATGATCTTTGATCTGTCAAAAGGCGGTTACTATGGACATTGTCATAATAGACGCACATCACGCGTGGCGAATCGCGCGTCACACGGACCATTGACTGCCAGTCAGCTCTCATTGGCGCTGCTTTAAGAACATCTCGAGTGCTAGATCCCTTGTTCTGACAGTTTTCCCGTCAACCCTCAAAATTAGTTCAAATCGATTCAATGTCGAAGAAACAACAAAACAAGTTATAACATATAGAGTCACTTTATTTCGTACGCGCGACTAACACATTGCGGCAGTAAAATTTAAATCATCCGAATTGAAATAAAAGCGTGCACCTGAAATTGAACTGAAATAAAGAAAGATTTTTTAAAAAGAGGAAATAGAAGCAACATCACTCCTATACCTTCCGCTAACGGGCGCGGGCGGACTGAACACTAGCGGACTTCGTGAAAAGCTTGTGGGGTGCTTGTTAAATGGGAACTGAAGCCTAAAAATGAACCATTTTTAAATTGCAGCTTACAGTTCAAATAGCAATGTTCGAGGGTTTTTTCAGTCTTTGGGCCCAACTTCGCCTCGGAAAAGTAGTTTAAAGTGGTATTTTGGCCTCGTAGTACGGCGGCTCAGAAAAGCGACGTCAGCGGTCATTTTAGCTCGCTCTTACGTCACTGGTGGGGAAGAAAGATAATAAACCCGTACTCTTCCTACAGAAATTTGGTTTGGTTATGGAGTTATCGAAGTTGCGTGACTTGTAATGGGGATTAACTACGAAAATGAAATAGTAACAGTTGTTTTTCTTAAGTTGGTTCCCCACCACTGACGTCATAAACTACCGCTGCTGACCTATTTTGAGCCGACGGTCTTACAGCCCCAAAAGCGGGAAAAAGGCAACTTCAAATTGAATTTTCTCGTAAAAAACAAGAATTGAACGAAAATGAATATCGACACTTTATCTTACTCCTCTAAAGCTAACTAGAAATGAATGCAAACAATATACCAATTTTAGGCCTCAGTTCCCCTTTAAGCGATGTGAATGAATGTAGAGGACCATCATGAATTGGTGAGACACTGAGATACTCAACGACAAAAGACAATTTCGATTATCTATTTACCACAAATTCATGAATATTTACGAAGATGGCGGAGATAGGAGCAAGACTAAGGTTTGCAGCTCAATCTAGAACTTTTCACCATTTTTCTGCTTGACACATGATCTATTTGGTAGTGAGAATTCCTTTGATATTACAGGCTTCATTGTAGGAAGACAATTTAAGCGTTATTCCATTTGCTACTAAATACTCATTACGCCTGTAACAAAATGTTTCTCACTTTTCATCAATAACACTCATATTCCCAATGGACGCCGTTTAGAAAAGCACTGCTTTCGTTAGCAGACTGGATATCAACACCTGCTACCAAAATCGTACCTGATATCAAACTTCTCTAGTTGCCACCTACTTAAGATCAAAGCAAGATTTGTTCCTTTCGTACCCAGTCCCATACACGATGAGATAAACTGGAGTGGCTTCTTACCGAGTGAATCATGATACGATCCAGCATCGGTGGTGGCAACGAGGATGTAAAATCGTTGACTCAATATGTCTTTTCCGAAAGTTCAGCAGTTTTTTTCTGATTCCTGTACAGGCCTGACCTGGGGTCAGTTTCTCGAAAGTAGCGATAACTTAAAGGACACGTAAAGCTGTTCAGTTTTCATTCAAGATGGGGATTTTAAAAGTTTTGAAAATGATACAATAACACTATCAGCTAAAGAAAAAAAAAAGGACTGGTTTGAGTGTCCGAAGCTGCTTTCCTATCCATTAAATTTTGATTTTAAAACATGGCTTCGGGCCCGTTAACT